TTTTACTCCCCCACATATATATTAATTTTATTTAAATTGCCAAATAGCAGAATGACTTTTAGTTCTACAGACTATAACACATGTATAGATATGTGGATCCACATCACTATCGGGACACAAAACACGCTATCACCCCTGAAGTGCCCCCTGCTAGCCCTTCCTAGGCACACACTCTCTATGGCTCTAATCTCCGACTACCAATGATCTGTTCTGGACCTCATGTTCTGTCTTTCCCAGAATGTCGCAGAAATGGAGTCAGACTGCACACCACTCTTGGAGACAGACTCGATGCTTCTGGGAACCATTCTATTGTTGTGTGTACCAAAAGTCTATTCCTTTTTCTTGCTGAGCAGAATTTCATTGTATGAAATTCACAACCTCTTTATTCATTTCCCTTGTGAAGGATATTTTGGTTGTTTCTTGGTTTTGGGCGATGATGAATAGAGCTACTACAAACATTCATGTACAGGGTTTTGTGTGAACATAAGATTTTGTACCTTTAATTTATACAGCCAGGGGTAGGAATGTTGGGTCATATGGTAAGGAAGTTGCCAAATTCTTCCAGAATGGCTGCACCATTCTGCACTTCCACCAGTAAGCATGAGAGTTTTACACATCCTCTCAGATTTGGTTGTGTCATTTTATTCATTCTGACTGGCATGTAGTGATATATCATTGTGGTTTTAGTTAGCATTACCTAGTGGTTAATGATTTTGAGCATCTTTTCATGTGTGCATTTGCCATCCTTAATCCTCTTTGGTAAAGTGTCTCTTCGTATCTCTTGTATTTTTTTTACATTAGAAAATTTAGTTTATTTAAAAAAGTAAATTAGAGAGAGAAAGAGGAGTTTCACCTCCCCAAGGTAGGGGAGGAGGCCAGAGCTTAAGAAAACACGGCCTGGCCATAGCTCAAAGAGCACATGGCCATACTATAGCTTAGCAAGGCATGGACCCTGTTTATTTTTAAATTACTTTCCCCCTTATTTTTAAGTTTTGAGATGTCTTCATGCATTCTGCATACAAGTGTTCTTTGTCAGATATGTGACTTACAAATACTATTTCCAAGTCTATAACTTGTGTTTTCATGTTTTTAGCAATGTCTTTCATCAGAGAGTAAATACTTAACATTGGATCAAATTCAACTTACTGATGTTTTTCTTTTGTGGATCATACTTAGACTGTTATGCTGTTGTGCATATTTTAAGTTTGAAAAGGGACAGGACTGGGGCTGGCTGTTCTGACACCAAAGTGTTGGTCAAGGTAGGGCCAAAGTGTGGTGGGAAGGACCACTGATCGGTTGTCCACAGATCTGGTCTCTAGGCCGGCCCTGCCACTAACAGGAGGAAAATGCTACCTGGGAAGCTGAACTGAATGAATGTTAGGTTTCTTTTCAGTAAAATAAGGGGGGGGGTTGACTAATAACTTAAAACAAAATTTTTTTAACCCGCTAGGTGATTTTTTTACAGCTCTCTTTACTCTGGAGACTTGGGACATGTGATGCTGTTTGTCTGAGTACAGGTGGCTCAATAAACATCAGCAGAGGGCCATCTGGAACAGCCACGGTCACAAGTGACCAAGAGGGGATGGAACAGCAGGCCCAGACCTTCAGGATGAAGATAGGACACTGTCCTGCACAGAGACGGAAGTGAGGGCAGAACTTCTGCTCCAGTGCTGCCCAGCTGAGGAGAAAGAAATGGTGCAGTTCTGTCCACAATCACAGGAGACTTGGAAACAGAGGGAGGCAAAACAACCAATCAAACAAGAAAATGCTAAAAACCAAGAACTGCCTGTATAAGCCAACAAAGCAACCTAGCTATGATAACACGTAACCCTGCTAAAATTTTAATGAATGTAGCTTATTTAAGAAATGACATATTAACATGTACACACAGCTTGAGTATTCCTTGTCTGAAAGGCCTGGGATCAGAAGTGTTTTGAATGTTTTCAGATTTTATAAGATTTGCATTATACCCTACTCTGAAAATTCAAAATGCACCAGTGAGCACTGCCTTTGAGCATCATGTCGGTACTCAAAAAGTTTCAGACTTTGGACTATTTCAGATTTCTGATTTTTAGATTAGGGATACTCAACCTGTGTGTGTCTATACAGATATATGAGACAATATATGGTATAGGTAATAGAGTTCTCAAACTAAGAAAATGGAAGACGAAATAAAACCCCCAAAGAAAGAGCACAGTAGTGACTAGTATAAGGAGTTCTAATGGATCAGCTTTGTAAAACTGAAATCTCATCAGTGAACCAAAGCAAACAGATTAGGAGGGCAGGACAGATCATTTAGTCTTGTATTTTCTTGTTTTTAAAAAGTCCTTTCCATGTGATGACTCTCAAGGATTACACTGTTTAGCTTTGTATATTGTTTTCTAAGCCACAGTCCTTCTAGGTGTCTATGCTGTAGGACAAGAAGCCTGGCTTAGAACAGGGAACAGTAGCTCTCAAATCTCCAGAGAGAGAGAGCGGTGGAAGCCTGACTGGGATGTAGGCAAACTAGGGAGACTCTTTAAAAGGGAAGACGTGGGACTAGTGCCACTCAGCCCTTGTCGGCCAGTGAGCCCATGCACCACCAGCCCTGGTGTCCTGATTACAGACAATGAGCATGCACTCAAGAGCAGGAAGTACACACAGGAGACAGGAAGGTGATAGTATGCCAGGCTGATAGCCCATGTGCCGCCATGGTCAGCTGCTGGTTCTCCTCATCATCTACCACCAGGTCCTCCAACACTTGCCATTAGAGAATTGAGAATTAGCAAATGTGTGTGCTGGGCCACAGCATGTGCCCAACACCAACTGCTGAAAAAACAAGCCGACAACTGGTTACCAGTCTGCACTAGCCATACACCAAGAGGTGGGGATGGTGATGTAGGCGGAGTGAATCTGGAATCTGCACCAGAGCTGACTGCTGTGAACACAGGGTACATAAGCCCTTGGTGAGTCACATGTGCTCTGTGTGGCACAGAGCCCTCACTTTCCCCACTGCATCTGCCCCAGGTCAGTAGACCCCCTATTCTCCTATTTGCTCTGACCAAGGAAGACATATTTAACTCCAGGAATGCAGCTTTCTCACAGGTTCTCAGCCACTGTCTGCATAGCCCTGGATGCTCAGAGCCACTTGACAACACCCTTGAGCCATCAGTGACCTAGACCCACACCCTGCCATGGCCGACATGGCCTTTCAAACTAAAGATTCTTGCCCACTGTTCGCTGGGGGCTGGCTTTATGGTAACCAAGATCCACTGTGGAGCAGAGGGCCAGCCAAGCCTTTCCATGCATCCTGCTGGTATAGACCGTGGGGCACCAGTTCTTTTTTGTCATAACTCTCCATTATGCTATAAATAGAGAATCTGGAAGTGGACAAACAGAGACCTGTCCCATGACTTCTTCAGATGTGAATTGTTTGAAGTTGTCCTCAGTATATTTTGTTGATTCTCTTAAATTTACTTACATATGTAACTTGCCTACATTTCTATTGAAAAATTAAATAAGATGGAAAAAAGCCAAAAATCCCTTAATACTGCTCTTTCTTCTCCTTTTTTCAAATTCCACGTTCTTATCCAGAGTAAACTCCATGAGCATCATATTATGCCTTTTAAAAATGTGGGGTTGGGCAAGGTGGCTCACGCCTGTAATCCCAGTACTTTGGGAGGCTGAGGTGGGAGGATTACTTGAGCCCAGGAGTTAGAGACCAGCCTAAGCAACATAGCAAAATCTTGTCTCTACAAAAAATTTTTTAAAAATTAGCAGGGTATGGTGGTATGCAGCTAAAGTTCTAGCAACTTGGGAGGGTGAAGCGGAAGGACTGCCTGAACTCAGGAAGTCAGGCTGCGGATGAGTCATGATTGAACTGTGGCACTCTAGCCTGGGCAACAGAGTAACACACTGACTAAAAAAAAAGTATATTTACACTTTAAATAGAGTATACACTGCTTAGAGATACTCTCAGCATTCTGCTGTATCGTTTACATAACAACATATCAGATGTTAGATCCACGTCAGCACAAGTATGGCTACTGCCTTCTTCCTATTTGCCACGTAGCCACATTCCACTGTAGGGAATGTACCACAATGATGTCATTGTGCCCTACTGGTGAACATTTAGGCATAATAGCCGTGTACTCCCTGGTACATAAGGCAAGTGAAGTTTCTAAGAGAAACCTAGAAGTAGATTTGCTTTTCCCATCTAACTTAATAAATTCAGGTCTTAGCTATTTTAACTTATGGTTTTATATATTGTTTAGAAAGTAATTACCTTGTATGCTAATTCTTGAATAAATAGGTTCAGAGCAGAAGGGTTTACAATAACTCCATGGATCTTCCATACTGTCTAGATGAATCAGGATGATCAAGATGAGTCATATGGACATATAAACAACAAACAAAACAAAACCATGCACGCCAAGTGTAGGGTCACAAGATATTATTTCAGAGCCTAAGATTTCAAAGTGAGAGAGAGACAAGTTGGCCAATGGACATGGAAGGACTATGGAGGTAAGGGCAGTCAAATGCTTCATAAAGGACATCTGCCTACACCTCATAATTTCATATTCAGCTCCTGAAATTGGTTTGCCCTAGACAGTAAAAATGGGTAGGAGGAGGGAGACAGTTACAGAATATCCAAGGGAAAGTTTAAGAAAATAAGATAAAAGTTAAGCTGTGATTCAGCTACTTCAGTCAGTGGAAGCAGAAAAGATTTGTATGCGTGGATGTTCTTGCTTTGGCTTAAAGTCTGGAGTATCTTTAAATGTTCAAAGGAATTCAGCTTTTTATTATTTTCTTTTCATATGGCCCATGTTTGGCTATCTCATGTACTAAGCCCCAGTGTAACAATCAGAAATACGGCCTTAATCAGAGAACAAAAGAACACATCCACATGAAAGGGGAACATGCCCATGTTGACAGAAAGTACCAAGAACCAAGAACATTCAAAAGGGAAAAGAAATCTGTCAGATCCAGAGAGCCACAAGAGCTTTAAAAATCTTACTTACTTTTCTATCAAATCCAGTGTAACTCCAGGCACCAGACTGACACATTTCTGCATGCAAAACCTGCAGAGAAAGAAAAGAACGTGAACAACACGAATGGAATAGCCAAAAAGAAAGTGCAACAGGCCAGCAGAAAAAGGTAAGAGTTAAAAATGGGGAGGGGGACTACCATAGTGAACAAACACACTCAGATTTTTTTAATTCTTGTGACTTTTAGATTTGTGAAGAAAATCTCATTGCCACCTTGTTAAGGTGCAAGACTGTGGAGCTGCAACAGTTATCTGTCAGGAGAAAGGAAAGAAACCAGCCTGCAGTCATGGGAAGCCCAGTCCCTGGAGAGGAGCACTGAGGTGGTTAGTAAAACTAAGCTTCTAAACTAAACACTGACGTAGACTGGACTTTTCATGGTTTTTTCCTTAAGAAAGTGAGCTAAGGAGACTGTTGGAGGAATGAATGGATAGCCTCAAGTCAAACAAAAGAAATGCAAATTCAATTATATCATTTTCCTTATCATAAAATCCAGTGAGTCAGAGCTGAGAGACTTCACATCTGAGGCAAATCTGCTCTCAGGAGCTAGAGTAGAGTCAGCCAGACCTTCTCTAACGTGCGTGACTAACAGGAGGGAGAAAACCATCTCTCTCCCCTTCTGTCAGGACTACTGGCACACAGCAGGACAGAATCAAGGTAACATAGAGTAAAAAGGCAACGTAGAAGTTTTAGGAGGAGAAAAGCAAAATGTTTAATTCACTTACTTTGAAAAGTAACAACAGGGCAACCCCATCTGGTCCCCTCCCATTGTGGGAGTTTTTCTGTCCTCTCAATAAATCCTGCTTTCTAATAAAATAAAATTTAAAAAATAAAATTAAGAAAAAATAGCACTCCTCAAAAACACAGTGCTGGCCGAGCTTGATGACTCAGCCTGTAATCCCAGCACTTTGGGAGGCCGAGGCGAGTGGACTGCTTAAGCCCGTGGGTTCAAGACCAGCTCAAGCAACTTGGCGAGACCTTGTCTATACAATAAATCAAAAAAATTAGCTGGGTGCAGTAGTGCACACCTGTAGTCCCTGCTACTTGGAAGGCTGAGGTGGAAGGATCACTGGAACCCAGCAGGTTGACGCTGGTGTGGCTGTGAGTGTGTCTCTGCACTCCTGCCTGGGTGATGGAGTGAGACTCCAACTCAAAAAAAACTCAAAAACCACAGTGCCAGGTACTGCAAGTACTCACATCTACAAAATATACTTCCATGTATCAATGGTTGGAAATAAAAAACAGAGGAAGCCTGGAGAAGGACACTGAGTCCAGGAGAGGAGCAATACAAGGACCAGGCTATGTTCACAGGAGAAATGGAAGCAACCTTTTATGAGGTCTGGGGGAGCTGAGAGGAAGAGGGGGATAAGGAGGACGATAGCAAGACAAAGAGGATCAGAAAGACCCAGAACCCGAAAGACCACAAGTCAAGGTCGTGAACTCAGTGCTTGTAGGGTAAACTCACTTCTGCAGCTCTCCAGGGTAAGGGGAGGCCGAGCTGGCTGTCCTGGACCCTGAAAATGACTGCCAGACATACTCACTGCCTCCAGAAGCAATGCCCAGCTCGGCCAGCACAGTGGAAGTTATGTTCTTGGTTGCGGCTGCAGTAGTCAGTGTTTTATCATTCAAAGAGCCAAAGAAGTAAGTGAGTCCATGTGTGCCCACTGCCAGAGAGCAGCCCTCTCCCATGGGCACCAAATGTCCAGTGGCCTAGAGCTTCACCCAGCCAGCCAGCTCCCTTCTGAGCAGACCTCTCTGCCAGCTACACTTGCAGGTACCCTGCCCACCCACTGCCATGCACCTCTGCACTCTACACACTCAGACACATGTAGTTCCTACAGCCATCCATGTAAATCAGAATTTCTCAGCGGATAAAAATGACCTTCAGGAAATGCATTTTTGAATTTGAGTCCCATGCAAACCATGCTATTTTGTTTTTTGTCCATAATGTGCTTATTGATTGGTATTTCTGGAGTCCAGAAATGACAGAATCATTTGTATTAGACTAATCTGTTTGCCAATAACAATAATAAGCCCTGGACAAAATATTAAAAAAACACAACCATCTGAAAATACCAAAGAACAAACAAATGTAGGAAGAAGCTGGAAGGGCTATGATCCTTACAAACGAGAATAACTCTGGAAGAGCTAAGATACTTTAAAATGAATAACTCTGGAAGAGTCACCTATATTTGGCTTTTCCCAGGGGTGTTCCTCAATTCACACAACACACAAGGGTAGCACTCAACTAAAAGCACTCAGTCTTATTGGGCTAAGGAGTCTGAGACCAGGATTCTAGACTGCCAGGAAATTGTGAACAAAAGCCTTAGGAAGAAGGAAGCCAAAACGAGCACGCAAACTTTCCTTAAGTCATAGGCTGGCTCCTGAAGGGGACACACAGAGGACAAAACTCCCAGAATCTTTGTGGAGGACAGCCAAATGGCTAAAAATGCTGAGCAGAGAGTTTAACATCTGCTTGCTAATGTGAAGATAGAGAGGGAGATCAAGTCCTGCCAAACTAGAGGGCTTGATCATGTCTGGTGCTTTTCACAAACAAACCACATTCCAGGGTTAAGAGCCACACCTCAGAACTAAGAGCAATGCCAAAAGAGATCAGCCCTACAACCAAACTTACAAAGATAAATGTAACTGCCTGCAAGAACAACTAAATACTCTTTGGAGGAAAATAACAAACTCTAGAGCCTCTACAATGTTGCATCTAGAACAGATAGTATACTAACTAAAATCAAGAGGAAAAACAAGCAATAAACACAGACTCATAGTTGCCCAGATTTTGGAATTAATAGACAAAGATTTTACAATTATACAAAATAACTTTATTACTGATAGGGAAAAAAGCATTACTCTAAATCCACTGAAAATGAAAGTTCTCTTAAATGGGAAATTTAAACAAGAACATCACACACCTTTATTATGGTATAGCTATATGAATAAGAACAGCAGATAAATCATTCACTGATAATACACAAATTTCACTTCAACCAATAGTATCAATTCTCTTGACACTAGAATTGGTAACAACTGGTTTCACACTTTACATATTCCTTTCCTTCTCCTACATTAGAGTGTTATTGGGTAATTAAAGGTCAAAGAGCAGGTAAAGGCACAGGTTATAACAATGGTTAAATAACACAACAACTGCCATTATTTAGTGCTTACTACTTGACAGTCATTGTTCTATGTGCTTTATACAGGTGATTTATTTAATCTCACAACATTTTGTGAGGTGTTATGATATATTATACAGATGAAGAACATCTGTAAGTTAGGTACATTCTAGCGAAGTTTAACAATATTGAAGAAAATGAAAAGACATGGGAAGCTTTCAGAAAGAAAGGACAGATCATATTCATAGAAACAAGAATCAGATTAACATGGGATACAGGAAGACAATGGAGTTGTATTTTTAATTTATCAAAGAAAAATAAGTTAAAACCTAGAATTTTATATCCAGCCAAACTGTCATTCAAATGTGAGAGCATGATAAAAATATTCTCAGGCACATATGGCCTCAGATGATTTGCCATAAAAAGACTCATGAAGAAGACAGTTTTAGATGACAAGTTTAAACTAGAAGAGAGAAAAATCCAAGAGATGCTGATGGAGATAAATGAAGTAATGATGACACATAACCGTTATAAAGTTTGTGGTCTTAAAATAAACAGTAAAAAAAGAAAAAGAAAGAAAGAAAAAAGGTGGGAGGGCAATATCTATCATAGCCAGAATTGAAAACCTTGGTAATATAACGTGATGGGGTAGAGGGTAGGAGATATTAACCAACAAAGGACTACTGCTATCAAAGATATGTCAACAACTTCTATCATTCAACAAGAAGAACACAAAAAAGCCAATAGAAAATGGGAAAGAGACTTGAACAGGCATCTCAAAGATAAAAAATACATATGGCCACTAAACATACGAAGAAATATTCAACATCATTAAGAGTTCAGAGAAGCACAAATCAAGACTACATGCAGTTATCATGCTATACCTATCCAGTAAGTAAAAATGTAAAAAACGACAATGCCAAGTATTAGAAAGGATGTAGATACATAGGATATCTTAAACATTGCTGTATGAGAGTAAAATAGTATAATCATTTTGGAGAAAACTTTGTCATCATCTCTTAAAATTGAACATTCCCATAAACTATGATCTGGCAATTCTGCATTTGAGTATATATGAAACTCTTGCATGCATTCAGAAGAATACATGGAAAAGAATGCTTATAGCCTCACTGTTCACAATAGCAAAAGTATAATATAATATACCAAAGCAAAGAAAAACAAACAAGGAAAACACTGGAAACATTCAAATGCCCATTAAAGAGAGTAACCGGTGCATGCTCTGGTATATTTGCAAAGACGGATATTATAGGCAGTTAAAGAGAAGGTACAACAGCTACACACATCAATATGGAGGACACTAGCAATACAATACCAAGAGAAAGATATCCCTAAAATCCCATTCAGCATTGCAGATGTTAATACATTTAAAATGTGAAAGAAAAGCAATTATCTTAAGGGAAACAGATACAAAGTAAATATTTTAAAAGGGCACCAGAAGAATGATGAAGCTGGCATTCAGAGCAATGGTCACTGAGGTGGGGAAGGCAGGGCATGGAATAGCCAAGGGTACCATATGTTTGGATGGAGGTTATTGTCAAGTTCAGGTTTTGGTTGCCTGGTGGGTTTGAAGGTATCTATTACATTACAAAAGTAAGGCTTAACTATCAAAATACTTAAAAAGAGGCCAAATATGGTCTAATGATGAGTATGACAGGAACCAAAAATTATGACAAATTCAATTTTATGTACCTGAGGTCACAAAAGTAAGGAAAAAGACGTCATACTACTGAAGGTAGGGCTCACTGGTGACTACCGGCTACTGTCAGATATCTACTCCCAGGTGGCAGCCTGGGCTTAGAGAAGGCTGCTCACCTGAGGGTGCCCATAATACTCTGTAAACAACCATAGAGATTGATCACTGTACTTTCCCCCATTTCTTTGCATTCTAGTCCACTGGAAATGGCTCTCTGTGTATGTGTATAGGGTGTGTGTGTGTGTGTGTGTGTGTGTGTGTGTGTGTGTGTGTGTGTGTATGCGCGCGCTGCAGGACTCACCAGGTCAACAGAGCTTTGCCTCTGAGGAGCAGTATGCAGGGTCCTTTTACCTTGTGCCACCCTCTGTCATCTCTCAAAGGTGAGCAGGCAACAATTAGACAAAGTCACTCTTGGTGATGGGCTGTTATCTCTCCCTGACTCCACCAAGTCTCTGGGAGGCTAAGGATTTTAGAAGACCAGGGGAATCTGCCAGTCTAGGAGCCTTACCAGATGCCAACCACAGGGAGCTGGAAGAGCAGAGGCGGGTCAACTGACAGTGGCAGTCACCTTGTTATCTTCATTATCACATCCATGTTACAGAAGGTGAAAAGGACTCACACTTTAGGCATTTAGGCTAGGGTAGGGGTGAAGGGGTGAATGGTCTGACTTCTCAGTCCTTATACCAAAGGTGGCAGTTCCTACAAGAATGCCACCAGAGTGGGATGCTCTGGAGTGGGAGGCACTGTGGAAGGGAGTCATGGGCCAAGGTCTTCTCTGCCTCCCTTCTTTTGAGTGGAGTAAAAGAAATAGCCTTTAGGACCAGGACCAGGCCTTAAGGATCTGAACCATTAGTTTGAGTTCATATGCAAAACCCTCAACAGCCTCAGGTTACTAAGAAAATCCCACCCATGGGGGCAGGCACTGGTGCTGTGGTTGCCTCTTGCAAAAGTGAAGCACCTGGAAGGATGAGCAAAGCCATCATAGCAGGAGCAGTGGGCCCTGACTTGCCCTGAGTACGTAGGAGCTCGTGGGGAAGGAAAGTGAGCTGTGTCTCCAGTGGTTTCTTTCATTTGTTTTAAAGTTGCTGAGGGTCGGGCAGGTCTGCCTTGTTCTTAGGAACTGATGGAGACAGCTGCTCAGGCCATTTTCTACTCTTCTGCTTGTGTTTAGAAACCACCATTTCCTACCTTTTGGAAAATCCTGTTTGCTTTGGATTATACTTTAGGATTACACAGAATCTGACCACAGCACATCTCCCTCCCTGTGGACACCCTAGGCCGGAGTTTCTTAACAGGGGCACTATGGACACCTTGGGCAGGAAATCCTTTGCATGAGGCCTGTCCTGTGCATCTTGGCCTCCACCCACAAGATGCCAGCAGCACCTCTCTTCCAGTTGTGACCAAGAAGATGCTGCCAAGCATCTTCTGGGGGACAGAACCACCCCCTCCCTGAGTCATAGCCCTAGGCCAACACCAGCATCTCTCACATTTTCCAGAACAGTCTCTCTGCTTCCACTCTTCTTCCCTATCATCCCCAATCAATTCTCTATCCTGCAGTCAGAGTAAGCCTTTGAAGAGGAAATGTTGAAACAAGACTTTCCCTTTGCTAAAACCTCTAAAAGTTTCTTATCACTCTTAGAATGAAATCCAAAGTCCTTCCTTAGGACAACCAAGGCCTAGCAGGATTTGGACCTTGGTCACAGCTCTGACTTCATTCCCACACTCTCATCCTCACTCCCTGGGTTCCGTTCACCCTGACCTACTTTCTGTTCCTTCAATAGGCCAAGCACATCCCACCGCAGGACCTTGGTCTGAAACATTTCCCCCAGATAACTGAAGGCTCATCA